ACACCATAGGAAGAGGAACCCCCCGCCGCCTCCTCAGCCTCGTCCTCCTCCTCCTCGTCCTCATCCTCCTCCACCTCCTCCTCGTCCTCCACCGCCTCCTCGTGCTCCTCGGGCACCTCCTCCTCCTCGTCCTCCACCGCCTCCTCGTGCTCCTCGGGCACCTCCTCCTCCTCCCGGACTCCTCCACCTCCTCCTCCTCCTGCCTCTGTGGTGGAGGAGCCTGATGACCCCTGCGTTTCCTTGGTGGTGGCGGAGGAGCTACCTCCTCCACCCTCTTGTATTTCGACTTTACTTTCCTTAAACTCCTTAAGAGACCCCCGCCGCCTAGCATCTTTGTTCAATCACCTGCAATTACAAAGAGATACAAAATGAATAAAACATAATTAGAAAGAGATGTAAAATAAATAAGACGTATTGCAAAATGAAGAAAACATAATTAGAAGGTAACATAATATTACATGTCTTAGATATAATCATCATGATCGGTATTAGCTGGATCATAAGTCTCATCATCACTATCATGCATGTCTACTTCCATGTTGATATCATGGCCATTCGGAGGAGCAATGTTGTCATCACTGTCATTGCCTAATTCTAATCACCGAAGTAATTCTAAGTCCTTCACATTTTGAACCTCATCCCCATCATCCTCATGATCAACCCTTTCATTGTCTACTTCCATTCTGACCGGATCGGTTATGTCTATCACAAAGCTCCCTTGTAGCCCCTCTTCTTGAAAGAACTCTCCGTCATATGTGTTTGTGTCAAAGTTGTAATCTTCATTGTTTGGGACAGGTAGTTTACTATGTGGCGATACCTTGTTCACAACATCCCAACCCTTAAGATGCAGGTCGTCTTGGCACGCCCATGGGAGATAATAAACTTGTGTGGCCTGTTGAGCCACGATATAGACATCGTCTCCTGGGTACTTGGAATCCTGTCGAATTTCGACTAGCCCAAGATTAGGGGTCCGTCTTATTTTTTTAGGATCAAACCAATGGCATTTAAATATGACAGGATTAAGAGGTTTGTGGCCATGAAATGTGAGTTCGTATATTTCTTCAACTCTTCCATAATAATCGAGCCCATCAAGGGCGGGCGTGAAAACTCCGGTATTTGTGGTTCTTCGATTGGGCCGACTCTACTCGTGTCTTGTTGTGTGAAAACGATATCCATTCACGTCATAACCGGTAAATGACATGACCCTAAAGGCACAGCCACCGGCAACCTGACTCAACTCGGCGCTCATAGATGCATCGGTTTGGCCCTACAAGCTCAAGCAGGATAGTTTGTTATATCATTCGCACGTATGAGCAACTTGTAATGTCAAACTAAGTACGAGCTAAATTAGAACGTACCTTGCGTTTGAACCAAGAAATGAAATTGGGTTTTCCATTTCCCGCACCCCATTTAAGAAGGATGTGAAATTCCCGCGGGGTAGGCGCCCTTGATCGATGCCAGAATTCATGAGTAAATTCCCTGTACCGACGAGAAACAAGGGGGTTGGATGTAGAATAGTGACTAGTCGAGACAAGTTTGTTGAAAATAGTGAGTTACCCCATGTACGGCTCCATTTCTTCGAGGTTGGTCAGTACATATAGCATGATAGTGTGCCACTCTTCATGACTCAAGGTCTTGAGGGTCTTACCACTTGCACTTCCGAGTTGCCCTCGAAAAAGGCTGAGGTTCGATTCATTTTCCCCAGCATTGTAACGAGGGGGTGGATTACGCACGCTAGGAAGGTTGTCACCATAGTATGTTGTTGTGAAGTTTGACACCTCCTCTAGAATCGATGCCTCTGCGATGAAAGCTTCAATCTTGCATTTATTTCTACATTTCTTTCGAACAACCTTTAGGGTTCTCTCAATTGAATAGCACCAACGGGCCTGCATAGGCCCCCCATTCGTGCCTCATACGGGAGGTGCAAAATCAAATGCTGCATCGGATTGAAGAAGCCTGGTGGAAAGATCTTCTCCAGCTTACAGAGCAACATAGGTGCCATTTTTTCCATGTCTGCAACCACGGCCCGAGATAACTCCTTAGCACAAAGCTGGCGGAAGAAATAGCTCAACTCTGCCAGCACTTGCCAGACATGATCTGGGACATAGCCTCAAACCATCACTGGAAGAAGCCGCTCAAGCCATATGTGGTAGTCATGACTCTTGAGCCCATTGATTCGCATAGTAGATAAGTTCACTCCCCTCCTCAGATTCGCTGCATACCCATCAGGGAACATTAACGTTTGGAACCATTCTAGTACTTCCCTCCTTTGGGGCCTGCTTAACGTGAATTCGGCCTTAGGCCTAGTCCATTTCTTGCCATTTCTAGGAGGCTGCATCTCTTGCTTTGGTCTGTCGCATAACATTGCCAGATCCACTCTAGCCTTAACGTTGTCCTTTGACTTATCAGTGTCCATGATTGTTCCCTAAAGTGCCTCAGCTATATTCTTTTCAGTGTGCATTACATCAATGTTATGTGGAAGAAGAAGGTCATCAAAATAGGGGAGCCTCTCCAAGCCCGACTTGTGAGTCCATGCATGTTGCTCGCCATATCCCACAAAACCACCTTCTACTTCATTGACCTCGAGAGCATCTATCTGAGCACGGACCGCGGCACCTATCATCATCACCGGTGGAGGGTCTGTAACTTTGAGGCCTTTTGTAAAGTTCTTGGTGTCTTGTCTGAATGCATGGTCAAGAGGGAGGAATTGTCAAGAGGGAGGAATTGTCGATGTTTGTCAAACGAGGAATACTTGCCACCCTTCTTCAACCAAATAAACTTCAGAGCTGTCTTGCATACTGGGCATGGGAACTTGCCGTGAACACACCAGCCACAGAATATTCCATATGCCAGGAAGTCATGTAGGGAGTAGTGGTACCAAACATGCATCTTGAAGCTTCTCTTTGTAGCTCGGTTGTATGTCCATACCCCTTCATCCCAAGCATTGAGCAATTCATCAATCACAGGCTCCATGAACACACCCATACTATTCCCCGAGTGTTCAGGAATTATCAATGACAAGAATATGTTCTGCCGTTGAAAGATGACGCCGGGGGGGATGTCAAGCTACCTCTTGAGACCATCACCATAGTCTACCTCAAGGAACCTAGAGGATTTACACTTTGGACAGTGCTTAGCTTCCGCGTGTTCCTTCCTAAATAAGATGCTCCCCTTTGGACAAGCATGTATCTGCTCATATGGCATCTTAAGTACATGGAGGAGTCTCCGCGACTCATACATGTTCCTTGGCAGAATGTGACCTTCCAGAAGCAAAGTGCCAAAAACTGTCAGCATAGCATCGAAGGCATCTCGACTCAGGTGGCACTGGGACTTGAAAGCCATAAGGCATCCAATGGAATCTAGTTGAGAGACCTTTGTCTGGCCGTGAAGGGGTTTCTATGCCGCAGACAACATGTCGTAATACGCCTTTGCGGTTGCCTCTGGCTCCTCATCCCTACGTCCTTCACCTAAGTGTGCTTCATGATAGTCACCTAACATGTCTCCTACCCCGCCATCAGCATCAAGATCCTCGATGCATTGTCTCACGACCTCGTCTCTCCTACATCCTTCACCATGGAGGGTCCACCGGGTATAGTCTGCCATAAATCCATACTTGCCAAGATGTTTACCCATGTCCACCTTTGTTTGTTTACGCCTGTTCTCACACTCGCTGCAGGGACACCAAACTTTATTCGTTTCTTTAGCCTCCCGAAATGCTGCTTCCAAGAAAGCATTGGTCTTCTTCATCCATTCATCAGTCCAGTCTCCATAACCCCTCCGGCCAGTGTACATCCACTCACAGTCATCCATCCTTTACCATATACGCGAGTAATATAAGAATCCATTGCATCTACACGAGGATCCTACTATCTAATAGGTGAAGATAGGTCCTAATCCCACCCGAGGATGCGTAGATGAGGTTAGTTTCCATGCTCTACTTCTATCCGAGACAGAATTTCGGCAGCACCTCCCCGCTCTTCTCCAAATACACGTCCCGGCAGGGAGATTGTGTATCCGGAGAAAAACAGGGAGATGATGCCGAAACTCTGTCTCAGATCGGAGTAGACCATGAAAACTAACCCCATCTACGCATCCTCGGGCTGTCCAAAAAATGTGGACAATTCGAAACACATACGGTTATAGATATGCAAAGATCTGCATACTTCCAACCGTATCCCTTTCGAATGGGAGACACCTAACTTGGTTATGTGATCTACAAACATGATACGGAAAGAGGGTTATACCTTGGGTGGCGGTGGAGTCAGGCTAGCGGGGCCGTGGCGGGTCGGTGCAGTGGCGAGGCTCGGGGTCGCCGAGGTACTCCGGCTGGGCTCCAACGGGCTCTTCTCGCAAAAAAAAGAACATACGGGCTTAATTGAAAATTTTGACAGAACCTCCCCTACACGGTGAGGTTTCTAAAACCTGCAAAAAAACGTACGGCACGATGGCCGATAACCACATATGCATATGCATTGGATTCACATTCAACCATGAATCATGTAATAATATATATATATTATTTTTTACATTGATCCTGGCTGTGCTGGTGAGTTCACTAATTAATCGTTTATTTGTTGGAATTGTGTTAATTTATTATTATATATATAATATGCCAAACATGATAGCATGATATAGCATTCTGGTGCACAGGTTCGAAATAATTTTTGGATGCATGTGATACAAATATACAATACACCTAGAGCTAGCAGTACAGTTTATATGCCTGCTGCTATCATATTACTTTCCAATGCAAGATGAGACCCAAAGCATGCATGTTTTAGTTAGAAAATTACAGTACAGTTTATATGCCTTGAGATGGTTAGGGTTTTGTGGAAGCAAGTGAGCTACTGTTTTGTAAAATAATATTCCAGAAATAATTACCATATGTTAAAAAAACTATTTCTGGAATTGTCCACTATATAGCATTATTGAGCCGCCAATGCTTTTTCTGGAATTGTCCACTATATAGCATTATTGAGCTTCCATATTCTCTTCTCGCAATGTGTATGTTCCTTGCCAAATGTTTTTCTACTTTTCCTGGGCTGTGTTGGCTTGCCCTTACAATGTAAGCTAGATATAAAGTGATTATTGCCTACCTGTTACTTAGATGGATTAATTCTCCATTATGTACTATTTCTTTGTTACTGATCTTTTATTATTAGTCTTGTACTCTTGACTCTTGATCTCTGTAAATGGTATCTGCTTTGGCCTAGGCGCTAAATATGCTGTAATGGTAGGCACATAATTGAGGAAACAGTTTGTTTCCTTTTTATTGACTTTTGGACTTTAGTTCTTTGTATAACATTTTATTTGTGAATCTGTCACCTGCTTCATGTCATGTTCATTGAATTTCCTCCTATCTTATCTTTCACCAAGAAAATAAAAATCTTTGTGTGATATAGGTATCAAGTGGATCATCCAAGTTATGACGATAGATTGAGATACTTCAGTATAGTGTTCGAGTCATTGCTCTCTTTCCAAACCGAGGAATCAAGAAACAAGTCAAAGAAACAGAAGTCTGCTATTGATCTTCCCAAAGCCCCGAAAGAAGTGGAGGGCCCTAAGGTTTCTGAGCTAAAGGCTAAGGCAGAAGCTGAGCAGCATGCTGTTCGTCGAATGAGGATGTGTCTCCGAGATATCTGTAACCGGTCTGCAGCTTACTCTTATTATAGAAGCAGGCAGTTGTGATATTTCAAAATCATAAAATCTACCTTCTTAAATTTGGTTTGAAACACAAGTGCTTCTGTTGGTAGCTTTTTATTTATTTTTTCTTTATCCCTTGCAATCTCATCAGCTGGTTTCTGGTACTAGATTAAGTGCAAGACTTCGCAATGTACAGCCAAAAGTAAACGTGTCACAAAGTTATGAAGTGCTAAAGCGGCAAAAGAAAAGTGCTGAAAATGAGCACAGTCAGTTTTCAAGATCTTAACTATAACCATTCATTTGCTTGTTAACTGTGATTGCAATAATTATGGAAAATGTTGATCTGTTGTTTCAGGCATGACCAAAGATGTGGTAGCTAGAGATGGAAAGTCTCCGGAAGATGTAGATTTGTCAAAACCAACTGACCCAGAAGAAGCTGCAAAAGAACCAGAGTCGTCATCGGCGCCGGGGACGGGCGCCGGTGGCGCCAGAGCCTGGCGCGCAGGCGCGGCATTGCGGGCGGGGTGGCGTGCGGGGCGGTGACGGGCAGGGCGGGGGGCGGCGCTGGCAGCGGCAGTGAGGGAGCGAGGGGACGGGAGTGTGCGTGCGTGCGTGAGTGAGTCTCGGCCGTGCCAGTTAAGGCTTCGGTCAGGCCTTTGCCGAGTGTCCGCGATCCGACACTCGGCAAAGCCGGGATTTTTTTAAAAAATACATTAAAAATCTTTGCCGAGAGTCAAGCCTATAAGGCACTCGGCAAAGACTATACTTTGCCAAGTGCTAACCCTAGACCACTTGGCAATGATATTTTTTTAAAAAACTTTTCTATTTCCTTTCCCTTTTCCTTAACCATTTTTTCCAAATTTGTTCCAATACACTTTGAAAATACCTTGTCAAATTCACCCAACAATGCAAATTTGATGCTTCAGTGAAAAATAGACTATGATTTCATGTAGTTATAGCTCAAATTCCATTTATATAATTGCAATTAAAAATTAATAATTATCAAATTGATCCAAAAAATCACTAAAATTTAACATGACACGATCTTTGATGTCTATTGGCTATACAAAAAGTTTCGGAGTCAAACCACAACTCGACCGTTACTTTCACTCCAAATCTTACCAGATCATTCTCAACAATCATGAAACTTCTTCGGAGATGTTTCGGTTTGTAAGCAATGTACGTGACAACTTATGCAACACCTTCTCATTTTTTTACCACAACCTCCACATATGATATCATGACATCTTATCAAATTTCATGATTTTCGGACTTCCTTTGCTTTTTATAGAATTTAAAAACCATTCAACCACACGCTCGGGGTCGTGTTTCCGAAATAAGATGTTCGAAAACCCTTATAATCTTATAGGTAAGGCCTCAAACTAGGTTGAATAATATGAATATCAATTTTATACTCATTTTTTCCAAATATTTGAATAACTTGTAGTTCAAATTGAACTTAATTCAAAAAATTGCTTGAAATGCAATTAATTAGTTAAATATAGCAAATAAATTCAAAACTACACCAAACTTAAGCATGGAGTACCAAATGTGGTATGTGGAGAGGTGAAAAAGTTTGAAGTGCAGGAGTCAAAAAAATATATACTTTGCCGAGTGTCTGCTTTTGACACTCGGCAAAGAGCCTCTTTGCCGAGTGTTGCATTTGTACACTCGGCAAAGAGCTGACGGCGGCAGGTTAGTTTAACGGCGCGCCAAAATTTGCCGAGTGTGAGACGCTGACACTCGGCAAAGAAAGTCTTTGCTGAGTGGTATATTTGAGCACTCGGCAAAGAGGACGTCTTTGCCGAGTGTCGAAACTGAGCTCTTGGTAAAGACTAGCTTTGCCGAGGGTCGTGTCTTTATCGAGTGTTCGAGTTCGGGCACTCGGCAAAGACAGCCCTTACCGAGTGCCCGAGATAAAAAAACTCGGCAAAGTCCTTGGCACTCGGCAAAGCTTGCGATTCCGGTAGTGTAGAGCAGTCTCTACAAATAGATGCAACACAGTGAAATTTATAACATTTTAAAACAAAGTCGGATGAAGACAAACTTTATATCAAAGTTTTATAACTCGAAGTGATCTACAACTCTGTAGTTGACAACTTTTTCATTTGCAATCATTTAAATCCTCAAATTTTGTTTGAAGTTCTCACATTTTAAAATTCAATTTTTTGTGTTTTTCCAACCGACCTGGATTGGAGAGACAAAAACCAAAGTTATAAATCTAAAAAAGATATAAAATATTGCAGTTGAGAACCTTTTTATTTGAAATGATCTATGATCTCAAAGTTTAGTTTGAAGTCCTCACATATGGAAATCCATAATTTTCAAATGACCTCAAATCTAGAAACGGCATACTGCAAAGTTTTGGATCTCATAGAGCTATACAACTTTGTAGTTGACAATTTTTTTCATTTGAAATCATTTATCCAAGGAAAATTTTCAACTTTATAGTCTCATAGAGGCTGTGTCGGGTTAGGGACTTAGGGTTGAGGCGAACAACATGGTGTTTAAGGTTTTTTATTGGGCCTTCTGTTTTGATAGTCGGCCGATGTAAGAAGGACATCTTTGAAAATTGATTTTTACAGGTGGGCTTCTTAAGTGGGCTGCCTCTGAAAATCATTTTTCAGAGACAGGATAATTTTTCTGGTGCCTCCTATAATCTTAGGTCTCCTAAAATCATTTATGGAGACGGGCGTAAAAAGTGTCGCCTCTGTAAAACTGGTTGTCTCCTAAAATCATTTTTGTGCTAGTGATTGTACACACATGTGTCAATGTCATGAAACATCTTAAAAAAGGTGATTTCAAAGATCCATCACATTCACCTTAATGGGCAAGTAATTCCAATGCTAATAGGCAAGATGTAAGAAGTTTGCTCAATGATATATCATGTTATGATATCAAAATGTCAAGATTAAACAAAATATACAGTCCATAAGTTTCTAAATTCTGAATTATATATGAAGTTAGTAGTTGGATTTCCACCGGAAATATTAAATAAAATTCCTTGATAAAAAGAATACTTTAAAAGCAATGAAGAATTCCTTGATTTCAGTATTAAGGAAAATAGTTGGAAAGTGTGTTACAGTATAGTTACTACCTTACAAAGATCTTAGCGAAACCATAGAAAAAGAATATGGTAGACTATATTAAAAATGATAAACTAGTTGTTAACCACTGAAACAATGATATTTAGGAATATCTTCCTTATTAACTGTTGATTTTAAAAAAGTACCCCATTATCATACTCTTGGCCGGCCCAGGCACCCACAAGTCAAAGGCTAGCAACTGAGAGTCCATGTTAGTAAGACATCATGACATCAATCCTGGTGTAATAATGAATGGAAGTAGTTTTATGGTCGTGTGTAGAAGCACTATTACTTATTTACATTATACTCCACAATCTTTATCGGGGTAAGAGATAATTTTATTAGAAATTGTTGTATACGTATGTTTTTCTATCCCGACGTCGCATGTGGAGATGTCTGCGTTTTAGGCATCCGACGTCGCAACTTGCTCGAAACCTTCTCAAATTTTTATCATAGCCTCCACATGCGATCACACGACACCTCGACAAGTTTCGTGAATTTTGGACTTCGTTTGCATTTTCTATAATTTAAATACACTCCGACCACAAGCGGGTCGTGATGTTTGGCGAACAAGGCGTTTAAAATTTTGGGTGAGTTCCTGCATACGGCCTCAAAATACACTCTACAACATGACTATCATTTTTTGAATGGCTACATTTCATTATTTCATGCACCTGTAGTTCAAATTTACTTTTTCGGAAAAAATGCAAGTAAACAAAATTAATTCAAGAAATATAGCAGAAAGTTATAAAAAGGTTCCAAATTTTAACGTGCTTGTAAATAATAGATAAGGTCTACGAAAAAAATTTGAAATCAAAATTAAAAAAAAACAAAAATACTTTGTCGAGTGCCATGCCTGACACTCGGCAAAGAGGGCCTTTGCCAAGTGCTAGGCCGCAGCACTCGGCAAAGGATATTTCAAAAAAAAAATCCCTTCTGGAATAAGGGCCCACGGCCCATCCTCCTCCAACCCTATCCTCATTCACGCCCGCCCCTCACCCGCGCCAGCGCCGCCGCCGCCACTCCCGCCGCCGCACCGGCCACCACGCCCCACGCCGCCCCGGCCCGTGCCCCCGCGCCCCACATCCCCCGCCCACGCCGCCGCGCCTCACCGCCCCCGGCCCGGCCGTCCCTACAAAGAGGTGGAGGAGGGGAGAAAGAGAAGGGGAGGAGGAGAAGGGAGGTGGGAGGAGAAGGAGAAGGGAGAAGGAAGAAGGAGAAGGGAGGAGAAAGAGAAGGGAGGAGGAAGAAGGAGAAGGGAGGAGGAGGAGGAAGAAGAAGGAGAAGGGAGGAAGGAGGAAGAAGAAGAAGGAGAAGGGGGGAGGAGGAGATGGACCTCGGTCCGACGACCGTTCACGCCGTTCGTCGACGACGTTCGTCCAGTCCATCGTCCCCGCACATCGCTGTTCGTCCATGCCGTCGTCCCCGTCCCTCGCCGGAGAAAAGGTAAAGGCTCCGAGGGTGTCGGCCTTGGTGCCGTTTATGTGTTGACGGCCTTCGTGCCGGGTTTGTGTATGTGTGGGCCATCGTGCCCCAAATGTGGACGTCGGCCATCGTGCCGGCTTTTTCTTGCAGGTTTTGGAAACCTCCCCGTACAGGGGAGGTTCTGCCAAAATTTTCAAGTAATAGTGATGTGTTTCTTCTTTTGCAAAGCAGGAGCTGTCGGAGGGGACCTGGAGCACCTCGGCGATCCCAATCGTCTTCGTCGGCGCTGCGGTCATGCCTGCACTGCTTTGTCTCGCCACTGCACCAACTCGCCACTGCGCCGCTAGCCTTTCTCCACCGCCACCCTAGGTACAGTTGACCTCTCTTGCTTATAGTTATCGTACGTAACCCAGTTAGGCGTCTCCCGTCCGAAACAAATACGGTTGGAGGTATGCGGATCTTTGCATATCTATGACCGTATCTATTTTGGATTGTCCACGTTTTTTGGATAGCCCGCGGATGCGTAGATGGGTTAGTTTCCATGTTCTGCTCGGATCCAAGGCGGAGTTTCGGCACCACCTCCCTATTGTTCTCCGGATACACACTCTCCCTTCCAGGATGTGTATCGGGAGAACAACGGGGAGGTGCTGCCGAAATTCTATCTTGGATCGTAGTAGAGCATGGAAACTAACCTCATCTACGCCTCCGCGGGTGGGATTAGGACCTATCCTCACCTATTAGATAGCAGGCACGCTATGCAGATGCAACTGATGGTTATATTACTCCATTATGTGTATATGATATTGCTCCGTTATGTGTATATGCTAGAGGATGGAGAACCATGAGTGGATGTACATGGGACGCCCAAGTCAGGCTCAAATCACCCATGAATGGATGGATAAGACCAAGAAATTCTTGGACCATGCATTTAAGGAAGCTAAGGGAGCGAGAGACATGTTCTGTCCCTGCAGCGATTGTGAAAACAAGAAAAGAAAAACAAGGGAAGTCATGATGAAGCATCTTTGCAAGTTT